TAGTCGACGAGTAACTCAAACATATATTTTTTAAACTGTTAGTATAAGCAATACACTGCATGGTTACACAGCTTTTTTATTTAAAAAATCTTTCTTCTAACGATTATTGAATGGGTAATACATATTATTCTATATATAGGCAGGACGTACAACAATATTATGAGGAGTAGGTCACCTAAAATTATTTAAGTAACACCAATTTGTATTATGACAAACGCTACTGTATATTGGTAGGCACTAGGCAGTAATATTAAGTTATTATTATTGTTTATTTCTTCGAAAAGATAATGCCCCCCCCCCCCCCCCCAATGAACAGGTTCGTAAACCAATTATATAGGGTTGCTAACCTATGGCACGCAAGCCAAAAATGGCACGTTTACCAAATTAAACTGCACTAGAAAATATTTTTATTTTATAGTTCAATCTTGCATAATAGCATTTAGTGAAAAATGTATTTATAATTTACTCAATAGTCAATACTTGTGTAGTACTGTATAGTCGTGTCAACATACTACCTACATACAGTTGTGAAAGTTTGTTTATTTTTAACATTTTCTGCATCAAGGCAGAGGAATAATGCTTTAATAGATAATGCTAAATTTGATGTTTGTGTTTCATTCAAATATACAAAGCTTACAAATTACAAAACTAAAAAGGTGGGCAAGTGGGTGTCGCTCTGCTGTACAGTAGGTTACAAGTGGGTCACTGTATAATGGATGGTATTACATTTGAATTCAATGATATTATATCATTGTATAAGAAAAACGATTCTGAGCGGAGACGATATGTCCTTATCTAGGTATAAAACATATTATTATATACTTATCTATGGTATTAAAAAAAATTGACCTATAATAAATTCCAAATTAATCATATCAAAATATCTATTAGGTACTTATAACGCGTTATACACCAACAACAAACCCTGATACTATCATAGATATATTATAGTAGTAAACTTTAGAAGTTTCAAGTACCTACGAATAATATTATACAATCACAACAAAATAACTAAAATAGTTATTCTAGGTTTTTTATTACGTAATTTCGTCCAAATTTGAATTTAAAATGTCTGTAAAAAATAACTGTGTTCATATATTTATTACATTTTTTGGTTACAGTATGAACTATTTATGAGAACCTTTGTTTTAAATTTGCAATCCTTAACTATAAAAACTGAACATTTTATAATTTTGTGTAAAATTGTGCCAATGTATTTTTAATATTTTTCAACTGGTATTGTAGCAATATATCAGAAGCCTTGTATTAAATTTTTACACTTTTTGGCCCAACAGATAAAACTTAATTGATATTTATAGAAAAAAAAACTAAAAAAAATTGAAAACTGAAAATGTCTGTAAACAGCTCATAAAGAGTCAAAATACTTTCAAAATTGTACAGTGTATAGGAAATGCTAATATGAACATTCAGTGAAATTTTCATGTATCTACAGTTATTCGTTTTTGAATTAGGTACAACAAATTACAAATAAAGAAATCGCTACATGAGAAATCGAGTGAATATAAAATGTTGTAAAAATTTTAATTTCAAACGCTCATAAAATATTTTATATTTTTTAAATTTTTTATTGATAAAGGTAGACAAACTTATGAGTAATCTTGTATTACATTTTCAAATCTTAGATTTAAAAAGAAATTTTTTTACGAATTCTTAACCCAAAATAATTTGCTAATTTTCGTGATTTTTCCACATTTTGTCAATTTTTGAACTTTAAATGCTTAATAAAAAAAAAACTGTGGCTAAGGATTTTTAATATTTTTCATCTGACTTTGAAACAATATACTATTAGCCTTGTAATAAATTTTCAAGCTTTTTTAACCAACAAATAAAATTTTATTGATATATTTAGAAAAAAAACTAAAAAAAAATGGAAAATGAAATTGTCCCTAAACAGTTCAAAACAAATCATAATATTTTAAAAATTTTATCTTGGATAGAAAATGCAAATATAAACAACCAGTGAAAATTTCATGATTATACGTTCATTTGTTTTAGAGTTACACCAAAAACCAAAATCGATTTTTTGGAAAACAGATTTTGCTTAAGAATTCCCGTTATTCCTTAATTTTGATGTGTTTAATCCAGGCGCTTGTGAAAACTATTTTGAATTAAAAAATTTGACCTCCGAATGCACCAACTATATTCAGTTTCCAATCAAACAAGATAGGTACTGAAGTTGAAAATCGAAGCATTATTTCGACTACTTATCGTGTACACAGACACAAAAATAAAAAAAATTAAAAAAAACACACATCATTGTAAAATCAATACATTCATAAATCATCATTCATCGTTCCACTTAGAATCTAAAAATCATTTTTTAGGTACAACGGGCCTGCACGCGACCTGTTTTTTTCTCAAAAGGAAATACTCTCAAGCTTCGTTAAAAGACCCCATTTGGATAATTTTTTTTAGAAAGAGATGCACATTTTACATGGCACATTAGTTTTAAAATTTTAAGTATTATTTAGAAACCATAATAAAATCCGATTTTTAATAGTAATTAAATTATATAATTTACGAGATTTTGTTTTTTAGATTCTGAGCGGAGCCAGGAAGCTAGTGGTTTTACAATGGTGTTTATTATTTTTATTTTTTATTTTTTTTTATATCCTGTATACAACATTTCTACCAGAAGGAGTGCTTTGATTTCAACATATAGTACCTTATCTTTTAGCAAATTGGACCAAGATGGTACTTTAAAGAGGTCATTTTTCGATTTTCTCAATAGTTATTTAATGCCACTTTAAAAAAGTACTGAAAAATTACGAAAAACCGCTTAAAATGGGATTTTAATTTCTAACAATTTGTTTATCACCGTAGCAACGAATAAAAAAAATAATAATTAAATAAATAAAATAATTAATGACAATATAAAATATACAGACTGACAAACCGTCTCCGTTCAGAATCGTTTTTCTTATACAATGATATTATATCATTGAATTCAAGTTTAATACAATCCATTAAACAATGACCAACTTGTAACCTACTGTACAGCTGAGCGACATCCACTTACCTGCCTTTTTTTTTTAATTTTAAGCAAAAAATCAAGAATCGAAGCCCAAAGCGCACTGTAGAAAGTCATCCTCATTCTAACAAAAAGATTTATTAAAAAGTCATCACTACGAGGTGTAAATTTTTGTAGGAGCTTTTTTTTTGAAAACAGATTTACATTGACTTAGGCAACAAAACGTTCTATTAATATGTATCTTAAGGGGCCTGGTCGCGATTTTTCAAATTTTCCGTAATTCTATAAAATTTGAAAATTAAATTTTATATTTTAGTTGCCACCTCAATTATAAGACTTTTTCACTAATCTACTACCCAATACCTATTTAGGGGGGGGGGGTTGATAGGGTGTATTATATCGGTCAAAACACAGTTTACAGGAAAAACTCTCACACCTCGTAGATTGGTCCGATTTCCGTAATTTTTTTTTTTTTGTTAGATAGAAGAATATTTTTTACAGGGCGCATTGGACTTTGATTTTTGATTACGTTGCTAAAAATAAATAATAATACAAAAACTAAAAAGTTGTAAAAATATATTAAATTCAAACTTGTAATATAAGATTTCGAAAAATAATTTTGAAAATCCAAGTCCAATGCGCCCTGCAATACGTCTTCCTCTATTTAACAAAAAAAAAATTACGGAAATCGGACCAATCTACAAGGCGTGAGAGTTTTTCCTGTAAGGCATGTTTTTGAGCAAAAAAACAGGTCGCGACCAGGCCCCTTAATATAAAGCTATTCTAAATACCTAGCTCTTCTGTGCAGTCATTTTCACAGCTGATAATCATGTTTTTCATCGAATACCAAAACCTATTTGTCTGTGTCTAAACTAAACATTTCTTGTGTGCTATGGACGTGTGGACGTATGAGCTTGTGGCCATAGGTATAAGTAACATCGTACAGTCAGTAAAAGATGACCGTACCTGTATCAAAAATGGTAAATTGTACAGGAGAGCGTTTTTAATATTTAATTGCTTTTAGACTACAGCAATATATAAGTTATTTGTAGTGACATATAATAATAACAAATTATTTTCGAACATTTCTTGAAAGTTCGATGATATATTTTTTAAAAACCTAAAGTTACTAGAAATAGTATTTATTTATAAAAACAATAAATATTTTGATATAAGACCTTACTGCATTGATTATTTTATTGTCAAATTATTTAATACTTATATTCAGGGCCGGATTAAGGTTTTTGCCGCCCATAGGCTGAAATAAATTTACCGCCTAATTTTCATAGGTATTGATATTTTACTTCTGTAAGTGATACGTAAAAACTCTCCACACCCCATATAAAAAATGATCATTAATAAAATAAAAACATAAAATCAATACTATTATTATTTATTAATGAATGAAAACTCTTTAAGCATATTACAAAAAAAAAATACGAACAAATAATTATTTTTCATATTCTTCAGATTATAGTCTTACGTCTTGATTTTTTTTTCGCAAAGTCTTCTATGATGTCGTCATATGATAACTGATTAGTTAATTCATGTTCAATACTTAGTATAGCAAATGCATTTAATCGATCCTGTGACATCGTTGATCGGAGATAATTTTTTATTCTTTTCAAGCAAGAAAAAGAACGTTCAGCTGAACAGTTAGTCACCGCAGTAGATGTATATATTCTGAGTGCTATTTCGATGTTGGGATATATTGAAATTAAGTTTTTTTCATGTAAAATTTGAAAAAGTTTGGGAACATTGTTTTGCTTATCTTCAGCCAGTTGTATTATGTGTGCTTTTAAATGTAAACATTCATTGATTAATTAATTTAAATCCATATCATCATAGTATATTTCATTAATTTGTGTAGCTCCTTTAACAATATCATCATGTGATAGACGTTCGAGCATGACAATAAAAGCAAATGGAAAAAAAAATTTTGATACGCAGCTCTTCTCTTGTTAAGTTCATTCAATAAATGATCTAAAATTACTAAAAAGGTATCAATTTAAAATTTTTCTCTTCCAGAAGCAATTAAATCATTATGTCGAGTTTCATCATAAAAAATTGATTTAATTTTCTTACGAGTTTTTAAATCTTTATATTCTTTTGTAACAGATTTTTCAATTTCTTTTTTTTCAAATTCATCAAAATGTTCACGAGTATTTGTAATAAGTTGAATTAAAGAATCGTAAAGCTCAACCACGAGACCACAATCTATTTCAACTTTTTGTAACTTCTCACTAACTACATTTAATCTGTTCAATAGGAAACCCCATAATATAGACATAAAGCAAGTCTCTAATGATTGGAGTTTATTTAATAGTCCTTGTGATTCGTTTCGAGTCATATTATTTTCTGTAGTAGCATTCATTATATCTATATATCTATTATATTATTCATTATTATTATTTCTGTTACACCCTGCATACCATTTTAGAACTTAAAAATATATTTTCTTATACTTTATAATTAATAATATTATTTCATATATTATATTATTGCATGTTTTTATAATTTATATTTAAAATTAATATCTCAACGTAGTTTTTGGGTCACACCAAAAAAAAATTTGCCGCCCTTCAAAATTTGCCGCCCTAGGCTTTAGCCTACACAGCCTAAGCGGTAATACGGTCCTGCTTATAATGTAGTAAGCCAGTTACTACGGGGTAATACCAATTTCATAAGTACATAGTTATTATTATAATATACGATAGACCGGCATAACCAGGTAATAAGAAAATTAGGGTTCAGAAATAGGCGGTTGTAACATTTAACAGGAATACTGGACACACACAACGAGATCCAAAATTAAAAGAATGAGATGATTATTTTATAATAATCATAGGGAAAACACTGAGTGCATACAACGAAATTCAAATAAAAAAAAAAGAGTAAAATGATTATTTTAATAATAGTCATAGTTTGTATACATTCAATCGTAAATGCGTAGGCTGGATTAATGTCCACACAAATCACATCCGTGAGGACCAAGATTACCGTATCTGTAGGCGAGGGGCACGGGGAACTTCATATATAAGGGAGCCCGAATAGGCCTGTTTTCAGACGTGTACTACCACAGTACCACCCATTAGTAGTAGCCTAGGATAAGATTTGGTATAATATTACTACGAATAAGTTGATAGAATAATTATTAATGAAAAATTAATTTTTAGTGTTTAAAATTAAAATGTTAAAGCGCGTAAATTAGGAAATTAAATCATTTAGAGAAAAAAATTAGTAATAAGAAAAATAAGGGATAGAAAGTCGAATATTATTAGAGGGATTTACGGAGTAATTAACCGGACATTGTTTTTTATAATATTCGAGCGTAGTACAAGCGCGTACGCATGAAACATCGCGGAACAGGGCGAGCGGAACGGGTGAGGGGATAAACCGTAACGAAATTTAACACGCGTAGCATAGGCGATCGAACGTTTTACGTGTTATTAGATAGGTACTCATCCATTTTCAACGTACGACGCGCGTTTACGTAATTTCTTTTAATTATTTGTGCATGCTAGTTATTTTATAAGTAATAATTTTTACGTATTATTAATTTTGGTGATGGTAATTACGTGTTAATAGTTTATAATTAATAATAGTATATACATGTAGAGTACTAGATATTATTGGTAATTACATACACGGATAGGATATTAATTGAATAAGTAATTTAATAGATATAATTTATAAAAATTATAATATATACCTATTGTTTAGATATATATATGTCAGAATCCGATAGTTCAGATATTGACACTAGTTCTGCGGACAGTTCAATAATAGTTAAAAAATATAAACGTAAGAAAGAATTAAAAGCGGCAATTTTAAAAGACGCTGTAAAGAAAGAATTTTTAGAACGAACTAGGAAACAGATAGCTAACACCGAAAAAGCTGTTAAGGAAAATTTTGTAAGAACACATAGTTTAACAGAACAGATAGGTATCACGCCACGAAAAAAGGAACAAACCGTAGGTCGCTCAGGTACTAGGTCAGACTCAAGCGTAATTCACGTGCAGTTAGAACCAGTAGTTAGAAAAAAAATAATGAGTAAAATGGATTTAGATAAAGCAATTGCTATATGATACCTATTTGCACGGGCAAAAAGGACATAGCTGAATTTATAAACATTTGTGAAATCGCACTTAAGGAGACAACGGAAGCAGAAACACCGATATTATTGAAAATAATTACTTCCAAGTTGACAGGAAATGCGTTAGAAGTAACAAAATATCGAAACTTAGTAACATGGGGATCAATAAAATCAATATTAGGGGGGGGGGCAATATACAAAATAGCAAAATTGTTACATGAGAAATCGAGTGAATATCCAATATTGTAAAAATATGAACTTCAAACGCTCATAAAAATAAACTTTTTTTTGCTTGCGGACATCCTTTTTTGATAAAGGTAAACAATTATGAATAATCTTGTATGACATTTTAAAATTTTAGATTTAAAAAGAAAAAATTTTTATGAATTCTCAACTCAAAATGATTTGCTCATTTTCGTGACTTTACGGTATTTTGTCAAGATTTGAACTTTAAATGCGTACAAAAAAATTGGGCACTAAGGATTTTAATATTTTTCAATTGTCATTATAACAGTATAATAGGAGCCTTGTATTAAATTTTCAAGCTTTTTTACCCAACAATTAAAGTTTTATTGACTTTTATTGAAAAAAAGACTAATAAAATTGGAAACTTGTTCTTGAACAGTTCAAATTCAAAACAAATCAAAATATTTTTAAAATTTATCGTTTAAAGAAAATGCGAACACAAACAACCCGTCAAAATTTCATATTCATTTGTTTTGGAGTTACACCAAAAACCAAAATCTATTTTATCGAAAACCGATATTGTGTAAAAATTCTCGTTTTTGCTTACTTTGTATGTTGTTTTTCCCAGCGTTTATGAAAACTTTTAATAACTTTTAAATCCTGGTTTCGACACTGTTATATGTATTATGTATAGGTATATTATTTACTAATAAAATAGGTAGGTACCTATAGTGGATACCTAGTTATGTTTTAAATATATTATAGTTTAGGTTTTGCTAGTCATATACAATATTACGATATACGTATTAGGTATATGCCAGTAATGTTTTTTTTAAATCTTACATTGTTTAGAATTCAATGGTACAGTAAAACTTCCATAAACAAGTCACCAAATTATTGAATTAAAGATTTTACAAACAACCCTGCCCTTAATATATAAGTATATCTTTTATAGCTTTAGTGTTAAGGGGTTTCGAAACTCCTTAACTTGAATTTGTCGTCAAGTCTACTTGAAATCAAAATTCCCAGATTTTTGATTTTTTGATTTTAACTTCTCCAAAAACTAAAATACGACAATGTTTAAATACTCTTTTTTAATACGGCATTTGTAGGAATTGGGGGATAATATCAAAAATGTTGCAAGGTCGATTTCAAGTAGACTTAACGACAAATACAAATCTGTTTTTAGAATTCTTATCGTTTCATTAGATTAATTGGTATGTTTGACAAAGAACCAGTCTAAAATACTATGTAGAACGTGTGTTAGACAAAAACAGAAAATAACAGTTTCAAATCCACTTCATTAAAAATTATTATCGTTGGACAATTTTGGTCTTTTTCTATAAATATTTATATTTATTTTATCTTTGATTTAAATACAAGAAGGCCGTACCTATACCATTATGAGGCTTTTATCGATGTCTTTTCAAGTATTATTATTTTTTAATATGTTTACTGTTTTAAAAATAGATAAAAAATAAACTAATAATTTTACAATATGCTTTGTTGTTTTTGCAATCATGGGCATTCGGTAGTCTTATACAGCATGATAATTGTGTCTATTATTACCATATTACATATGTGTTGTAAGTTTTTTTATGGGTGAGAAAAGTTGAAACTAGGGTAGAGTGGAAGTATTTAAAATAATGTGGACCTAGGGAAGCAAAATCCTAAGTACGCCACTGATTTATGATGTATATAAATAAAATATAATTATATGTGTATCGTGTATATGTATAATGTGTACCTATCTATATATTATATATCTTAAATGCAGTGCTCAAGTTAGGAATTATTAAGTAGAGGAGCTCAATCCAACAATTTATAGTGCATAATTATTCAACGCACACATAAATAGTTATCAACTTATCAGTATTAAACATTTTATTTATTATTTTAAAAAAGCACATTTGCCCATGTGCAGGTATTTAAAATTATTTAAAATGTCAACGTATTTTATATATTATTTTAAAAAAGCCCATTTGCCCATGTGCAGGTATTTAAAATTATTTAAAATGTCAACGTATTTTATTTAAAAATTATTCTATTTTTATAAGTAAGCTGACAGATTTAAACTAATGTTTAATTATTAATAAATAATATACATTTAATGTTGACATGTTGTAGTCAAATCTATTCAAAGGTTGAATCAGACTGAGTTGGGTGAGTAACAAAAATATGTAGGTACAGAATTGAAAATTTGTGTCATGTCTATCATTATTGGGTATTCTTAATTTAATTTACAAAAACCTATAGTCAACAATTTATTGACAACTCCAAATTTGTTCAAAACAATAAGTTTAAAAAAAGGTTAAATTAGGGGACCTAAACTAAAAACAAATACTATTGATTAGAATATGGGAAGCTCTGTAGAAAACTACTGGCGACATGGCGCTCAATTTCAATGAATTTGTCTATACAGCCCCTTACTGGTAATCTGCAAAAAACTAATACAAATAGTATTACAAATTTACAAATGATTTAATCTATACTGTGTTTAAAATTACTATGTGTCTATAATAATATTTGACAATGCCTTGTTAATTGTTCATTATTTTCATAGTTGATGTAATAAATATTGTTTATTAAATATTGTCATCTTCTGTTAAGTCTAAAGTAATATTTTTCATCACATTTTAAGAAGGAGGATATATTATTTATGATATTAAAATAAATATAAAGGTTGCTGCACAGCGAATCAATTAAGTCACAACATTTACCTTTTCCTGTATCCAATGAGGCTGAAATATTGAAGAAACTAGCAAATTTTATATTGTGTCAAAATGTGTAAGTCCTCTGATGAAAAAAATATTGAATAACATAAATAGTAATACCTACCTATCGTTTACCATTTCTATAAACTAAAATTAATTAATAAAATAATGTTACAATAATTATCCGTAAATTAATGATTACTGATTTAAATATTTCTGACAAACAAACAAAATTACCTGATATTCAAGTTCTAAAGATGGCATAAGTAATTTATATTTATCCGTTATATACATTTAATTTTACAAATTGATTTATTGTTTTCATTTTTCATTTCCAATTTACTGTTACTAATACAAAGTTATACTTTTAAATATATAGATTATCGTTTATACGTCCATTATAGTCCTCGCCTATGTAATCAAGAAAAGAAGGCTTATTTTAAAAATTTGTACATAAAAAGAATTCTAGGATATTACATTTTAAGAAAAATAATCAAAACAAATTGTTACAAAATAATAAGAAAATTCAAAATGCACTTATGAATCCGAACTTAATTAAAACTAGCTAATATACATAAATATGGGAGAAGATTTAAAGAAAATGAAAAATTATTTGCACTTGCATTATATTATAATTCCCCTAAAGGGTATAATTTATTGAGCAAATATTTATGTCATCCAACAGTTAGATCACTTAGAAATTTACTACAATCAATAGATGTTTCTTGTGGGCTAAACTCAAACGTTCTTGATGTTTTAAAAATAAAGTTTAAGGATGTTCCACCAAGTGAAAAGCTGATATCAATTATAATGATTGAGATGTCACTAAAAAAATTGGTTTCTTATAACTCTCAAAATGATCAACTTAGTAGTTATGAAGAATTTGGTATAGATCATGAGTTTGATGATATGAAAATTAATCACATCTGTGAAAGAAAATTAGTTGATATGATTAAAGGTATATAAATAGGTATACAAAATTTACCTTGGAAACAAATACTAGGATATTTTTTTTCTAAAAGACCATTATCTGATTTTGACTTAAAAACATTATTACAGATGTTATTAAGTTAAAGATGTTGGTTTTATTCCAAAAGTTATTAATGTTAGCAAGAGACCAATAATATTGGTATGAGAAATTTATTTGGAGCTACAAAAACACAACCATTAATCAACTTCAATGATGAAAACATTTATTTCTTTCATGACAGTCCTCATATAATTAAATCAGTGAGAAATAATATAAAAAATACAATTTTAGTTATGACAATGATTCTAGTAGATGGTCAGATTTAGCAGATTTTTATAATTTAAACAAAAACAAAAAGCCAAGGTTATCTACTCGATTAAATAAAATTCACATGGATCTACATTCATTCTCACCAATGCAAGACTGGGTAGAAAATGTGTTTTAAATAGTAAGGTCAAAAGGAGGTGATAATGTCACACTTGACGCTACAAAATTTCATTCAGCGATCCGTATTTGAATGTGCAATGTGCATACTTTATTGGAACCGTCCAAAAGTGGAAATTGTGAATCTAAATGTGATGCAGTTCAGTTCTTGAACAAATGCAGTGAGCTAAAAAAATTAAAATACAGTTAAAAGTAATGGGTGATACAAATGACTATGTATATTCTGATAAAGAAGCTTTTCTTAACTTACATTTATCTTCAATGAATATTGAAAATATACTAATAGAGAATCATGAGGCTTGTGCGATAGGCTATGTAGCTGGATGGGTGTGTAGTAAACTGATTCATCAAGAATGTGTAGATAAGCTAGCTGCCAAAAGTGAGGATAATTGTCAAATCAACCTGGAAAATACACATATAGAAATTAAATTGTATCAAAATTCTAGTTTATTATATCCACTTAAACCACATTAGAATTTGCAAAAAAAGTTACGTGTATATTTATTTGAATATGGTCACTTTTGTTAAAAACAAAACAGTTAACAGTATATAATTTTTATTTTTTAGTTTTACCATTATTGTATTATGTTATATACCTACCTACACACCTATTCATTTAACATAATATTCTTATTTATAGATCATAAATGTGGAAGTTAATACAATGTTGTATTAACTTCAAGTTGTGGTTGAAGGTTTGTAACATAAACGGTTAACACAACAATGTTTGGTTTTAAAAGAATTATATTACTGAAACGTCTTAACCTACTCACAATCACGGTTCACTCGACACTGACCGGGAGACGCAATAACTTAATACAATACAATAGATAATGCAAACAATAGATAACAGATAATATAATCCCACATACACCCCCATCTTAAGCAGAGTCCGCCTCGGACACTGAATCTTCATCATCTTCATCTGAAGTTAGGCAGTTTTTCCATTTTTTCATATAATCCGTTCCCGTGCTAGTTTTTTCAGGTCCTTCACCTGAGCCCACCTTCCACACTGCATATCGGTTCGGACCACATCTACCAGTGATACGATATGGTCCAAGGTACTTGCTCTTTATCTTGGATAGAGGAAGAAATTGTGTTCTTTTAATAGCAACTAGGTCACCAATCCTGTAATCTGTTGCTGCTACTCTTCTATGATCAAATGTTTTCTTTTGTTCTTGCTGAGCTTTTAGTATGCATTGTTTAGCCTCTTGACGCTCTGCTTCTCTTTTTTCCAAAAAACTTTTTGCATATTCTTCTTTTATTAAACTGCATAATGGGAGTAGATCTGGATGTTTCATTTCAGTTCCAAACGTTAATTTAAATGGAGTCATATTAATTGATCGCTGCCATGAACTATTTAACGCCATCTGCACTCTTGGGACATACTTAAACCATTGCCCTGGATCATCAATAGTCAATTTTGCCACTACTGTCGCTATTGTATCATTCAATCTCTCGACTTGTCCATTTCCTCTTGGCATTCCTGTGGTAATCTGCACATGATATATGTGTGAATCACTACAGTATTTTTTGAACTCTCCAGATGTGAATGCAGCACCACGGTCAGATATCAATCGTGTTGGATTACCAAATGTAGCTTGTAATATATTCATTTTGTCCACAACTTCTTTCGATGTAGTACTTCTTGTTGGAAAGAGCCAACAGAATTTTGTAAATGCATCAATAATAACCAGAATATGTTTGTATCCTCGAGGAGTATTTGTCAATGGTCCTAGAAAATCAATGTGCCAAGTATGTAATGGCAGATCACCTTTGTCAATTGTGTTAAGGAATCCTTCCTGTTTCCCTTGTTTTCGGTTGATCAAAATACAAGGTACACAATTTTGAATGAAACGTTCCACCTTTTCAAGAATATTAGAAATGGAATATTCTCTATCTAACAGTTCAACAACTTTTTTAACACCAAAATGGCCAACATTATGTGCATTTCGAATTAACTCTTTTTGCATACCTTTTGGAATAACCAGTAATTTTCTGTCATCTCGTGTTTCATAAAGCAAATCATTTTCTACAATATATGAACCACATCCATTCATCCTTGCTTCTGAAGTTAAGGTTTTCACCTCAATATCATTCTGTTGTGCTTTCTGCAATTGTGCTATAAATTCGCTATTGATATTCATGCATATCGGATAACGGCTCAACGCATCTACATGAGCCATATTGGACCCGGCTCGATGCTCAATAGTGTAATTAAATTCACTCAACAGCAATGCCCAGCGGGCTACACGTGTAGCAAGTTCCCTTTTTTCTAGTGTTTTAGTAAATGCAGCGCAATCGGTTACTATTTTGAACTGCAGTCCTAATAAATAGGATCTAAACTTCTTCACAGCCTCAACAATTGCTAAAATTTCTAATTCATAACTATGGTACCTTTGCTGTGCTTGCGTAGTTTTTTTGCTCATAAAGTATATAGGGTGCAACAGATTATCGGAATCTTTCTGTAAAAGTATGGCACCAAACCCATACATGCTGGCATCAGTGTGCACCTCCGTAACTGCTTCTGGATTAAAGATTCCCAATACGGGTGCCTCTGTTAATTTTTTCTTTAACATATTAAACGCACTTTCTTGTTGAGGTCCAATTACGAATGGTATACTCTTTTTGAGTATTTCGCTCAATGGACGAGCAATCAAGGCGTAGTCCTTAATGAATTTTCGAAAATATCCAGTCAGTCCTAAAAAGCTCTGTATATGTTTTGCATTCTGTAGTCTTGGATATTTTACCACAGCAGCCAGCTTTAATGGTGATGGACTCAGTTTATTGTGTTTGATTCTATATCCCAGGTAATCAATTTCTTTTTTGAGAAATTGACATTTTTTCCAATTAATTTTCAGACCATGGTTAGCCGTGGTTCTTAATACTATCTTCAGTCTTTCAATATTCTCCTCAACTGTGCTTGAAATAATTACTAAGTCATCCATGTATATTAACAAATATCCCATCCGCATTATATCCTTGAATACATGGTTTATAAAGCGCTGAAATATAGGTGGAGCAATACACAATCCAAATGGTGTTTTCATAAATTCATATTGTGCCTCTGGTGTAATAAAAGATGTATATTTAATACTCTCTTCGTCCATAGCCACATGAAAAAAACCGTTCTTAAGGTCTAATGTTGAAAATATTCTGGCCCCTTGAAGCTTATCCAGCTGGTCTTCTATCAAAGGTAAAGGGTAACGATCCTTAATGATTTTATTATTTAATCGACAATAGTCAACACATACCCGAAATGAACCATCTTTCTTAGGGACAATTACAATTGGGCTAGCATAATCTGAGCAGCTAGGTCTGATAATTCCTTCCTTAATCCATTCCTCCACTTGACTTTCCACAATTGCTTTTTCTTTTGGTGATAAACGCCTTGATCGCTGATAGATGGGTTCTTCATCACTGACTATAATTTTGGTTTTTATGGGTGTAGTTTCTGTAGCACATGGTACATAGTTAGCTATCATACTCTTTATAACCGGATAGTGTTCTCTAGATCCTACATCAAACTCACTTGTTTCAATAGTTATTTTGTTGATTTCAATCACTCCAGGACTAATTTTTAGTTCAGCATTGGTTTGAAATAATGATCTACCTATTATAAAGTCACACATTATATCTTCATCAGGTACCGAGTATACTTCTACTGTATAAGTAGCATTATCAACTTCTAATTCAGTGATGAATTTTTTCTTGGTACAAAACATAGTTCCAGCTGGTCCACTAAGACTAACTTCTGCATTGACAGCGTCAATACCTTTAATTAATGACTGTCGGCATAAATTCAAATCGCAGCCAGTGTCTATAAGGGCTAACGTCTGGATTCCTAAGACATTAATTTCTTTAAATATTCGCTCATTAGTATTTATAGCATTCACTTGATAAACTTGTGGTTTTTCATCATTATTCACTTGCTTTGTTTGAGTTTCCTTATCAGGGCATTCTGTTGATTTGTGGCCAAAAGATCTACAAGCAAAACACTTAGGACCTTTATCCAAGTCTGGACATTCCCTATGTTGATGTGTCTTAGATCCGCAATTATAACATCTAATTATTGTGTTCGCAACACCAGACATCGAGTTTTGTTTTATATTACCTGCATTATGATTACTTGCAGCACCATTAAAAACCTTAGATATCCCTGACTCAGAGATGTGCATCCTTGACTTCATCTTAACATACAATTGTAGTTTTATTTTAAATTCGCTTATTGTTGTAGCTCCATAAAGTAAAGCCTTATTCACTTCACTATCCTGAATGCCAGCAATGACATAATCCAATAGTGAATCTTCAGACACATCTCCTTGTTTTGCTATTTCCATCATTTTAAACAAATACTGCTGATGAGATTCGTCATTATTTTTTATTCTGGCTGTAAGCTGCCTATGCACGTCAGCCGAAGTTAAATTATTACGAAACTCATTCATCAAACATTCCCTCATTAAATTCCATGACTTAATACCAGTTTCAGAACGTAGATATAGGGCAGCAGTCCTCGACAATAGACGTTTACTATATATAAAAAGTTCAACATCAGACCATCCACATACTTCGCTCATTTCTTCCAAATCTTCTATCCATTTAATGATTGAATAAGTATCATCACCGGTAAATACATTAAGAGATTCTCGCACATCATGAAATTTAATCGATTCTCTAACCTGATTAACAGTATCCTTTTCTTCGATGGCAACAGTAGTTTCGTTAGTTCTTGCATTTGCCTTAGCTTTGCGTGTCTTCGGCGTCCTGGGTGCCATTTTGTAAGGAAGTTAACTGGCAAGTTCAAAAACACGAGATATGAATCGCGATTCACGATTTACTTCACGCACCACAACACGACCACGCGACTTGGTAAATACGAATTAATTTTGAGGTTAGTAACTAGTTTTACAAGTTCACGACTTATTAATTGTTAACGCGTGTTAATACGAGCCAACAACCGGACAGGCCCCCAAATGTGGAAGTTAATACAATGTTGTATTAACTTCAAGTTGTGGTTGAAGGTTTGTAACATAAACGGTTAACACAACAATGTTTGGTTTTAAAAGAATTATATTACTGAAACGTCTTAACCTACTCACAATCACGGTTCACTCGACACTGACCGGGAGACGCAATAACTTAATACAATACAATAGATAATGCAAACAATAGATAACAGATAATATAATCCCACATAAATATAAAAATATAGTTCATACATATTTTATAATGTTCTTATATCTAAGTTTTACTTCTTTTTATTATTTTGTAGTTGTACATAATATTATGACTCGTATCATGATTATAATAAACCAGGCGTCAAAACGGGTTTTTTATGCAAACAATTTTGAAACCCATAACACAATCAATTGGAAATAGTGAGTATCTAATAACCTAAGACATTTTGAAAAGCCCATTTTTTAAAAATTAGTTACCTATATAATTATTTTACATTTTAAATAAGTATATATTATTATTGGTGATTTACATTAAATATTAATACTATATTTGATTTATAAATTACTTTCCTAGCTACTATAAATACTATTAATATACTTTTTTTTAGTTTCCTAGAACACATTTGTGTTTATTTTTTTTTAAACTTTTATAGCTTATAAGATATTTTTGGTACTTAATATTTATATTGACTGTAGTCATATTTTGTACAAGTAGGTATAATTATAAAAAAATAAGTTATTTAGCCATTAAAAGAGTATTTGTTTTTAGAATCATTACCAATAAATTATTTTTTAACCTTAGAGCACACGCTTCACGGTAAAAAAAACCGGGTTTTTAGAATTTTTTTCATTGTTTCAAAAATAAGAAATATTAACCTAATCCAACCTAATTAGGTGATAAACTTAAATATTATTATATTTTTCAAACAAATAATAGGTATGTATACAAAGGCAAACTAGGGTGCCTGGGCTGCCACTGAAATTTTGAAAGGCGCCGGTCAACCGAGTTTTAAGTCAGAAAGGTTACAACTTGTATTTAAAATGAAATTTTTGATATTTATGGCGTCGAAAAACTTTCAATTGGTGTTCGTTTTGTTGATAGTTCTGTCGTATACACACTTTTCAGTGATATACCTCTATCGACACTAGAATTACCAAAACACTATAAATTAACCAGTTACAGTTTGGCTCTCCAGACGTCGATATTGCCACCTTACTGTTTAGACTTTCAATCTTCAACGACCATAAATTAACCGGTTACAGATCAGATTGAAAGAACACAATTAACGTAGGATTACTTTCACCGTTTAAACCTTAAAAAGTCAACGACCAAAAATTACCGGTTACAGATCAGATTTAAGGAGTACGTACAATTGTGTGGCAACTCAAACAAAACATATAATTTTTGGGGCGGAAACACTTTTCATTAACTTATATAAACAAACACAAAATTAACAATCAAACGTATCTCGCGGTATTGACATACCACGACTGCCCTCACTTACTATTCTTTTCGCCTTATATCTATTTTATAATTTAGCTACCTCAGCACATTTGCTTCACTGGCCTACATTACAAATATGATTATATTATACTGTTTATACATATAATCACCTATTACTTCAGTTCAAAAACAATAAGAGAAGAATTTCTAAGATTCAATGCACTAGAAACCAATATATTAGAAGCAATTGGTATAACTACTTCTATTTTGTCTTCTGTTGTAAAACATTGCTTGGATATGAATAAACTTTACTCCATTCACGTTTAGAAACAAAATCGGCGGCAACCAGTTTTTGTAGGCTTATGTTTTAGTTGGTTTTCAGTAGTGCCTGGAAAGGAAAATGAAATTCAAAAAATAATTTATGGCAAATATTATAAAACAATATTTGTTAGATTTTTTGCTAAAAATTGTATCAACATTAAATTAATCAGTCTTAGAAAAACTATCTTCTAACTATAATAATTCAGATTTCAAAGTGAACACCACTACTGGCTAAAAACCTCACTAGCATGTGACATGTGCGACATCGATTTCACAATTTATTATATCCTTAAATATCATATCCAAATACTCAGCTCAATTAGAACCAGTTACAAAAAAATTATAGGTAAAGTCTATTGATTTATACTCAGTCCAAAATCATATTCAAGATTTATTGCTCATATTTTAATAATAATAGAGAACGAACAGATATCATTTTTAATAACTCCTTATGTGTAGCAGAAAGAATCGTCGCAGAAATACAAATTACATGAATTACAAAAAAAAAAAAAAATCAATCGAATTATGAAACAAATTTGGTTGAATGCTATTACAGACTTTCTCACTTTATACCATATTTGGATTCGCTTATATCATCCCTTTCACGGTGATTTTAAAGTGCCACTAAACCAAAATTTTCAATAAGTATACTTACAGCATCCTACAAAATATATTATAATGTAGGTAGGTGTACCATATATCGTAAATGATTTCCACAAAAAAATTAATTTTATAGTGAACACTAACAAATAGAAAATATTATAGATGAATCTGATATTTAGTATCAATATTGGATTAATTATAATTCGATTGAAACTCAGGGTGAAGAAATGTTGTTAGTTGGTTTATTCGCTCATTATAAATATTATCCAGCAATTTTTTAAATACTTAATGTTTACTCTTCAAAGTGCACAATATAAACATGTTCAGTACATCGAGAAGAGTATAAATATGGCTTTGTTCGACTACAGAAGAAGATAGTTTCAAATGGTTAGTATATGATTAGCATTCATAATAAAAGGGTACCTATGGTGCTCCATGATCTTCAGTCAAATAGTTTCAATGCAGGTTTGATGCGTGATCGATAGACAACTACACCGCTGGACGCGCAACGCTGAATTCACAAAACAGAAACGTCCATTCAAACACAGTACACCGGCACGTGCAAGTATTACAAGTGATCTGGATAGCTGGTTATGAACATCCTAGACGAGAACATAAAATAATTAAAACACTAGTACTGGTCTGTTTGGAGAACATAGATACTCACAGGACAACAAAAGTTTTATTTATGAAAACAAGTGGCTTACATAATATACATTTGATACACAAAATCATAACGTAGAAATGCACATCTATTACAGACAACAATGAATATGTTAGGATTAACATAAGATTACCTGAAACTATGAAACATTTGATAACATCGATAAATTTACTCTTAGCATCGATCTTAACCTAAACAAAAAATGTAATCTATTCTGTGGTATAGGTTTAATAATTATATGTGGTGCACCACCTACCTTAGTGTGATCAATAATCATGGGGATTTGAGGTGCTCTATGATCTTCAGTCAAATAGTTTCAATGCCGGTTTGATGCAGATTGTTACATGCGGCCCTTCAGGGATCCAAAAGCTGGTGTACTTTGATAAATAATAATAGTCAATTAGTATGGTAATCAAATGTATTATATTAAACCAGACAAAATAAGCAGAATAATAGTGTTGATTGTAGCGAATTGTAGCTCGTTCCGAAATTGATAATCTCCGTGTAAGTTGTGTGTGATGGCTGGGCGGCTAAGCGAGTCGTGTGGTGTTCTCGTCTCTGGATACATCTACTCAGGCTGTCTCGCTGTCCCCTATATATATGGTGGCGGCGTCCTTTGAAGTGAGCGGCTCGTGTACAGTCGTCCTTGATATGGACCTCACGAGTCACGACTATGAAAGTGGTATTCTTAGTCGAAAACACTTTTGGGTATGGTCGCATTCCTGGTTGTTTTTATGAGCAAATATATGATATTGCGTAATCCCATTACAAGATAGATAGACAACATCACCGCTAAACGCGCAACGCTGAATTCACAAAACAGAAATGTCCATTCAATCACACTACAAGTATTGCAAGTGATCAGAATCGCTGGTTATGCACATCCTAGACGAGAAAATAATATAATAAAAAAACTAACACTGGTCTGTTTGGAGAACGTAGGTACTCAGAGGACAAGTGATTTTTTATGAACATTTAAAACAAGTGGCTTACATAATATACATTTGACACACAAATCATAACGAAGAAATGCACATCTATTACAGACAACAATGAATATTGTGTTGCTGGAACACCTATAACAACAAGTAAACGACATTTTTATGGGTTTCATAATTTTATTAGACTGGTGTATCGCTTACATAAATAAATTGACGATTACCTGAAACTGTGAAACATTTGATGACATCGAGAAATGTACTCTTAGCCTCGCACTTAACTTAAGCAACAAAAAATAAAATGTTGGTTGGTGATAAGAAAAACAAGACCAGTGATAGATAATATCTTAGATCATAATATACAATGAAATTACCGAATTTGGCCGGTTAAATATCTGTTATCAGCCGATTAAGCGTTAACCGTAATTAACTGTGTTGGTGAAATCGGCCCTAAGGATAATATCCATGAAGACTAGAGATATCTCTATAGTCTTCATGTTACCGGCCTTCATTGAACTATAATATTATGATCATACTTATCATATAGTTCAATGTGCACGCCTTACGTTGTTATCGTCGCGCGTCGGACCAACACGAATAGTTCCTATCGTCGCCTGGTCAACCACAACAACGAATATTTTCAATATTGTCGTTATTTCAAATTATTCGTACCTATTCCTGATATGAAACATTCTGTGACCATTTCATATATTTTGTTTACCACGCCTTACCATCTATGCATAGTGCATACCCACTTTGGGCCTCGTACTTGTCGTGCCCTCCGCCACCACCACCACAGTTCACGAGTATTCGGAATCGGAATGCAGTACTCAGTGCCGGTAACCGG